CGTGGAAATGGAAGAGGATTCCAGCTCTGCTCTCTCCAGAGCCGTGCAGCGGGGACTGGGACTGACATCCTCACTGCATGCCAGGATGCTGCAGTGACTGCATCCCATTGTCCTCCATTGCCCACACCAGCTGCGCGCCGTATAGGCACAGTCGCGTGCTCAGTGCTCAGATGATGTAACGCACGACGTAGTGACCCGCTGGCTTTCCCTCTAACAGCAATTACAAGTTTGGAACATAGGTTTCAGAGTAGCAGCCGTGTTAGTCTGTATCCGCAAAAAGAACAGGAGTACTTGTGGCACCTTAGAGTCAAACAAATTTATTAGAGCATAAGCTTTCGTGGGCTACTGCGCACTTCTTCGGATGCATATAGAGTGAAACATATATTGAGGAGATATATATACACACATACAGAGAGCATGAACAGGTTGGGGTTTTTTTTCCCAATTTTGAGAGCCCTTTAATGAAAGAAAAAAAAAAAAACTTTTGAAGTGATAATCAAGATAGCTCAGTACAGACAGTTTGATAAGAAGCAAGTGTGAGAATACTTACAAGGGGAGATAGATTCAATGTTTGTAATGGCTCAGCCATTCCCAATCCCTATTTAACCCTGAGTTGATTGTGTCTAGTTTGCATATCAATTCCAGCTCAGCAGTCTCTCATTGGAGTCTGTTTTTGAAGTTTTTCTGTTTTAAGATAGCCACCCGCAGGTCTGTCATAGAATGGCCAGACAGGTTAAAGTGTTCTCCCACTGGTTTTTGAGTATTATGATTCCTGATGTCAGATTTGTGTCAATTAATTCTTTTGCGTAGAGACTGTCCGGTTTGGCCAATGTACATGGCAGAGGGGCATTGCTGGCACATGATGGCATAAATCACATTGGTAGATGTGCAGGTGAACGAGCCCCTGATGGTATGGCTGATGTGATTAGGCCCTATGATGATGTCACTTGAATAGATATGTGGACAGAGTTGGCATCAGGCTTTGTTACAAGGATAGGTTCCTGGGTCAGTGTTTTTGTTCAGTGATGTGTGGTTGCTGGTGAGTATTTGCTTTAGGTTGGGGGGTTGTCTGTAAGCGAGGACAGGTCTGTCTCCCAAGATCTGTGAGAATAAAGGATCATCTTTCAGATCTTTGATGATGCGCTGGAGAGGTTTTAGTTGGGGGCTGAAGGTGAGAGCTATCTTACAACAGAAAAACTTCAAAAACAGACTCCAACGAGAGACTGCTGAGCTGGAATTGATATGCAAACTAGATACAATCAACTCAGGATTGAATAAGGACTGGGAATGGCTGAGCCATTACAAACATTGAATTTATCTCCCCTTGTAAGTATTCTCACAATTATCAAACTGTCTGTACTGGGCTATCTTGATTATCACTTCAAAAAATTTTTTCTCTTACTTAATTGGCCTCTCAGAGTTGGTAAGACAACTCCCACCTGTTCATGCTCTCTGTATGTGTGTATATATATCTCCTCAATATATGTTCCACTCTATATGCATCCGAAGAAGTGGGCTGTAACCCACGAAAGCTTATGCTCTAATAAATTTGTTAGTCTCTAAGGTGCCATAAGTTTGGAACATAGTAATTGAGCGCCAGTAACCTGATGGTGCTCTGAGCCCTTTAGCAATAGGAATCCTCACCCCCCCGCCCTTTTTCCAGAGGGGTCCAGAGAGGGGCAGTGACTTGTGTGAGAGACTCCATGGCAGAGCTGGGCCTAGAGCCCCCATCAGATTTAGCTATTGAGCACCATTCACAGTGATCTCTAGGGATTGCATCTCCTGCCTCCCCAGCCTGTGCATTAGCTACACTGGGGTCCCTCCAATAGGTTGATCCATGTAGCCCCCCCCCCTCTCCCGGGAGTCAGACTGCTGGGAGAAGGAGCCCTTGGTACGTTCTTCAAGGGACTCTCCAAATCTGGGCCTCAGACCCAGGTTGCACCTGCACTGTGCCCTGGACTGGCCTCTGGCTGTGGTCCTGCGTGTGTGCTGGCGGTCAGGCACCCTCGCCTTTCCCAGCTAGGATACAGCTCCAGCCCCACCCTTGGCCCGGATCTGCTTATACAGCCAGCTTCCCACAGCCCTTCCCTGGCTGCTTGGGCCAGCGCTGGACTGGGACCGGTGGCCATTGCTGCTGCCCAGGCAGGGCTCTCACGGGGGGGGCGGGTGTCAGGCTGCCTGTGGCTGAAGGGCCAGGCCTGCCGAGTCCCCTCCTCTTGGCTCCCACAGTAGACTAAGACTCCCCTGTTGTATGCCCAGCTCAGGGCCTTCACTTACCCTCCCGCCCTGGCCCGTGCCCTCCCGGTCCCTGCAGCCCTCCCCCAGCTTGTGCAAGGAACCTATTGCTTGCCCCGCAGGGGAGGAGCCCGGAGTGGCTGTTACAGCATTTACTGCAAGCCATGGACCCCAGTGGTTGATGGGAGAATTCAGGGGCACTTTAAGCCCTAGCAATCTTCTTAAGCTGGCCCCTTCTCCCCTGTGTATTTATTTGCCATTGCCACCCCCAAGGGTGCTACCCCCGCCTTGCCGGCTGGGAGTGTTTAGTGAGCATCAGTAGGTGCCTGAACTGGTCATTCTGGCATCCGCCACCCATGGAGCTGCTCTGAGCACAGCTCAAGGATTGTGACCAGAGCATGACTGAACCAGCTGCTAGCAGAGATAATGGTGGAGCAGGCCTCTCCGGCCGGGACCATCTACTCACACTCCATCCATAGTCCCAGTGGAGGTGGATGGTCCTCATCAAGTGACCAGCACTGAAATATTTAATGCTAATGATGTTTAAATTGTCATCATTCGGGTTCAGACTCAACACCTCCTTGAGATGAATGGGGCACTGTACTCCTTGCTTTTGGGCCTACTCCTATATAATAGAGGCCATGAATTGCAACCCAGACAGGTGTCACGTATCTGCATCTGAAGAAGTGAGGTTTTTTACCCATGAAAGCTTATGCCCAAATAAATCGGTTAGTCTTTAAGGTGCCATCGGACTCCTTGTTGTTTTTGTTAACCCAGAAAGAGGCTCCACTCCAAGAAAAATCAAAATAGCACTGTAATAGGGACACATCTGGCTTTTACAGCTCCCTACAGGCAGCTGTGTGGTCCTACTACAGCCTGCCCCAAGAGAAGAACAGCGAAGGTGGGTCATCCAGGCCTGCCTAGGGAGGCCTCAGGGAAGCAGCCAATCAGAGCCCAGCAGGCTCAGATAAAAGGATCTGCAGGGGCTTAGCAATCAGTTCCTGGTAGGGACCAGATGGGCGAGGCTAGGTGCCCCTCTCCAGCTGCAGAAGCTCAAGGGACTGCCAGAGTTAGGTTCTGGCTGCATTTGCTGAAGCTGGAGAGAGAGGCCCCGAGAACTTTTAACCCTGAGGTAAGGGGGGGCTGAGAAGAGGGCCACAGGAAGAGGCCCAGGGAAAGAGCAGCAGCGCACTGCAGTTGGGCAGCATGTGGCTGCTGCTTATAGCGTCCCTGAGGTGGAACCTGGAGCAGGGGGTGGCCTGGCTTCCCCCACCGGCAAAGTGGTGTAAACCCGGAGAAAAGGACAAGGTCTGTTTGGAAGCCTGAGTGAAGGGCTGAATTTAAAGGGCCCAGAGCTGGGGCTGAAGACTCTGGGGAGGGCAGACAGTTCCCTTGGGACTTTGGAAGGGGTTTAGTTTGACTGTGTGAGCCGGCCGGAGGGCTGAGCCCCTGAAGACTCACCCAGCCTGGTTGACAACCTACAGGGGAGTGGCAGGAGTGGGGAAAGGACTGCGATACCACACCCAGCCAACAGCAGACACTCGAGAGGGGAGTGTCCCCCGTTACAAGCACATTCAGCGTGGGGATGGTGGAAGTTGATCCTAGCGATAAGAGAGCTGCTCTGACTCAACCCACTCTGCTTATAACTAACTAGCTGCCTGCAGCCGGACGGGCTCTCCCCTGCCCTGCAGACTCTGCTCCCGGTACCTGAGGCAGAGTGCAAGTTAACCACTGAGGCTACGTCTTCACTACGCGCCGATCCGGCGGGTAGCAATCGGTTTATCGGGGATCGACTTACCGCGTCTCGTGAGGACGCGGTAAAATCGATCCCTGATCGCTCTGCCGTCGACTCCGGAAATCCACCTCGACAAGAGGCGGTAGCGGAGTCGGCGGCAGCGGTCGGCTTTCCCCCGTCCTCACCACCAGGTAAGCCGACCTAAAATACGCAACTTCAGCTACGGTATTCACGTAGCTGAAGTTGCGTATCTTAGGTCGGAACACCGCTGTAGTGTAGACCTAGCCTGAGCATGGAAAGGAAGTTAAGACCCAATTCTACATCCATTGGACACCAAAGGGCAGCTTTCCAGGGGATCAGGCTCTCTCTGGGCAGAACTTAAGTACATTTTCAATACAGCTAGAGCACGGATGGCCAGCAACTCTGGAAGGGGGAAAACATTGGTACAAGTGGGTTAAATAAACACATTCTACCTCGGGTCCGCATTGGAAGTTCATGGGAATTTTGCCAGACCACCACATTGCGGGTTGAGGCTGCAGTTAATTTTGTAATAAGTCCTTTGCTTTGCTGAACCAGGGTCACTACAGAGTCACACCCACAGGAATGCTGCTGTAGTGAACACTTCTTTCCCTGCCTCCAATGAAATGGTGGGAGGGAAACGTGTCACTGCTGTTTCACTTCTTCCTGTGGAGTTGGGTTCGAAAACACGCTGTCTACATTTGGCTTTTTAAAGAGTTTATTTAAACTCACTCCTTCAAGGGGGCTTAGAATCCAGCTGTGTATATTTAAACACGCCTCTAACCTTCATGCTAGGGTCTGTACGCTCCTACAGTCACATAACCTTCCTTGTCTTTGTTCCCCCCTCCTGTGACTCCTCCTGCTGTTAGATTAGCCATTTGGGGTCAGGACTCAGTATCCACAATGTCTTGCACCTGCTCCTTTGTTATTTACTGTAATACATGGATTCAAAATGCATCAACACTTCTCCTTTGTAAGAAAGTAACAAGCACTCGAGATGGGGTTGGGGGAAGAGGACAGCTTGCATTTGCCTGTCCATCTTCAGCACCACCCTCCCTTCATGACTTCGGTAGGTTTGGGAGCACCAAGAGGGTGGTTCCTGCCAAGATCCCTTTGGTTGTAAGCCCTGCTTTCCTCCCAGCATTTGCCTCAGTGGCCTGGGTTCATACGTAGGAATCGCCACCTCTTGGGCTCTCATTATTTGACAGTTACACAAAACGCAGTTTAAACAAATTATCTAGTAAATCGAACACGTTTAATTTCTAACCGATGAATGCAATAAAGTCACACATTATCCAAAGTCATGTACAAGCCCTCCTTCATTCTGAATGTAATGACACAGGCCAGCAGCCAGACACGGCCCTCTCACGAGAGTTAGTTAGTTGTTGCAGCATCGCTAGTGTTTGCTTGTCTACAATTTGTGCAAGCGAAAAAATACAAGCGGCCACTGCTTGAGATGGTCACTGAAGAACCACAAAACTCTACACAAATCCTTCATTCCCCTTTCTAGAAAAGACACGTTCCGCCACAGCTGTCAGCCACAAGCAGGAATGCAAACACTGCATTTAACAGTGAGCAGCTCACCAGTTCAGACCCCTGCACTCGCTTGATGCTGACAGCACCGTAACGAGGGAGCCCCGGATCATCCCCATGGAGGCACAGCCCAAGGCCAGACAGGCAGAGCCAGGATTAGAACGCGTGACTTCCAATCCAATGCTCACCCCAAAGAACCTATTTTTAGTGGCCGGAATAGGGCTGGCTCCAGCCCCAAAGGCTATGCATGAGCAGTCCTGTCCTGGCTCTAGAAGACATGCAAGTGGGCAATAGTTCACTTACCCTCCATTCTCTCCATAGAGAGTCTTTACAGAACCCCACCAGGGAACAGTGATAAACACAAGTCGCATACAGCTCCTAGCTAGAAGAGAATGGACATGTGCAAACCTGAAAACCATGGGGGCCATACACAAACTACGTATAAAACAAATCCGTGACGAGAATTCTCACAAGATAGCAGCTGCAGGATGAGAGAGACCCATGCTGTACACAAGGGGGAAAAAAAAAATCTAGCTATTAAAAGTTTCTAGTCAGTTTCCAGTTTAGCCGAGTCTGCCAGATAGGGTTCAGGTCTCTCCCCGTTGGCTCCCTCCCAGCGCCAAGGGTGAGCGATCTCTGGCAGTGAATGTTCCTCCAGCTCTCAGAAGCTTCAGCAGCTTTGGCTGCTGTATGATACATACAGACATGGAACCCGAACCTGCAAAAACTAAGGATGTGACTGGTCCCATTGAAGTCACATGCTTAACGTTAACCATGCATGTAAGTGCTTGCTAGATCAGGGCGCGGTGAGTGCGTTAACTCCCAGACCTGCTGTACTGTATTTGCTTTGCGTGTTAGAAGATAAGTGGCAGGCCGGAACCCATTTCTGCATTAAGGAACCCAGGCTTCAGTCCTTGGAGAAGCCTCCAGGTGATCTGGCTCCGCTCTATGCGCCCTCTGATGATCTTTCAGCAACTGCTTATATTGGAAGTTTCTCCCGCATTCGCTGCACTGGTGAGGCCTCCCTCCGGTGTGGATCCGCTGGTGTTTCAGGAGATGTTCCTTCCGGATGAAGCTCTTCCCACAGTCACTGCACTGATGGGGCCGCTCCCCCGTGTGAACGCGCAGGTGCTGGAGGAGATGGTACTTCTGGCTGTAGCTTTTGTCGCACTTGGTGCATTTGTAAGGCCTCTCCCCCGTGTGGACCCTCTGGTGGCGGGTGAGTTCCGACTGGCACTTGAAGCTCTTCCCGCAGTCACTGCATTCGTAGGGCTTCTCTTTGCCGTGGTTTCTTTGGTGCTTTAAGCCGCTCTCCACGAGCCAGACGCTTTGCCCGCACGTGGCGCGCTGGTGGCATCTGTCGGCATGGCTCTGCTGGTGGCTCAGGAGGTCCTGCTTCCCCAAGACGCTCTTCCCGCACGGGACGCACCGCTGCGGTCCTTCGTCCAGGTGGACACGCTGGTGATTCCGCAGGCGGTACTTCTCGGCATAGCTTTTGCCGCACTTGTTGCACTGATGCGGCCGTTGCCCCGCGTGGATCAGCTGGTGCCGGAGAAGGCCTGAGTGATAGCTATAGTTCTTGCCGCACTGAGTGCAGGGGTAGGGCTTCTCGCTGCCATGGCTCGTCTGGTGCCTTAAGAAGCTCACCTTGAGGCGGAAGCTCTTCCCGCACTGGGCGCAGCTGTAGGGCTTTTCACCGGTGTGGATCCTGTAGTGGCTGGTCAGCTTGGATTTCTCACTGAAGCCTTTCCCGCACTCCGTGCATTTATAGGGCCACTCCCCTGTGTGGATGCGCTGATGCGAGACAAGCACGAACTTTTGACTGAAGCTCTTCCCGCAGGTGGCGCACTGGAAGGGCCTCTCCCCGGTGTGCAGCCGCTGGTGGTTCTGGAGGTGCTCCTTGCGGCTGTAGCTTTTGTTGCACTGGTCGCATTTATACGGCCGCTCTCCCCTGTGGATCATCTGGTGCCGCACGAGCGCCGAGTGGCACTTGAAGCTCTTCTGGCATTCGTTACACGGATAGGGCCGCTCCTTGGTGTGGCATCTCTGGTGCTTCATAAAGCTGATCTTGAGCCTAAAGCTCTTCCCACAGTCAGCACACATGTAGGGCCTCTCACCCGTGTGGAGTCTCTCGTGCGACAGGAGCATGTCCTTTCGAGTGAAGTTCCTCCCACATTGGGCACATGCATAGGGGGCCATTCCTGCACTGCCCCTGGGATGGGCAGCAGCAGTTTTGAGTTCTCTTTCATGCTGAGTAAGTTCCCCCAGGTTGTTACCTGGAGAGAGGATTGAAGTGCAAGGACTCTCAACGGCCGCTTCCTGTTCAGCACCCTGGAAAGCTCTCTCCTCTGCTCCTCCTGGCAACGGCCCAGGGAGCTCTAGGTTGCTAGGGCCTTCCTCAGGATGTCGCTCCTCTGTTTTGATTGTGAGCTCAACATCTGCTGGTACAAAAGAGAGAATCAAGACCTTCATTTCATCCGGCTGAGAGGAAGGAAGTCTCCAGTACATAATGCAGAAAGGGTTGGCAGCAGTGTTAGTCTATAAGGGAAAAGGTAGATGAAGTGACACCTTTTACTAGAGCAAAAACCACAGTGTATAACACAAAGCTTTATGGCCAAAACGTTTCCTCTCTGGGGCTTGTCATCTGGTACCTGCGCAGTCCCCCCTACAGCGCCTCTCCTCCCCTACCTCTTTCCTGTCTGACAGACACTCCTGCTGGTTTACTCACCTCTTCTCCCCCACCCCCCACATGCAACAGGATGTCAGAGCACCCAGAATGCTTTGCAGCAGACTGGCCTTCCTGCTGGGGCGTAGTGTGAGACACACACAGGAAATGCAGGTCAGCACTGCAGTGGGAAATCAGAGCTTTCAAAGTTGGGGTGAGGAATGGGATTTATCTAGAATATTCTAGTCCATTGCCAGGGGAACACACTTTCGGGTTTGGAAATCTACCCACAATCAATGGCTTTAATCAGCTTGCGTTTGGGATGGCTACACCACTCAGGAGTCACCCAGGTCATCCCAAACAAGGGCCAGGTGAGCCTTTAGACAGGACCGCACCACCATGCATGCTGCATATGCCACATGTTACCGAAATAACTAACCAATGCTTTTTGCTGGGATTCTTTTTGTATCCCTCTGCCTTTAAAGCTAGTCTCCCTTCGCTACCATGATTCTAAATCTTTCAGATGAAGGTGGAATCATCAACATTTCTAACAGGGACCTAAAATAGCTTTTCTATCTTTTTTTCTAGGTTTATTCTCAGGACATTTCAGGGCCAGAAGCAAGTGCTGTGTATCCTGCTGTGAAATAAGCTTCCCATTTCTAGTCCTGCAGAGTTGTAATATTGATTGGAAGCGAAGCCAGTCACTTCTGAATCGGTGACTAGCTAAGCCTTGGGCAGATGAGCAGGCTTTGATTTGAAGCAGCTCAGAGGTCTGGAACACTGCAAGTTTCAGGTGAGATAGATCAGAGGGCAGGCGTGGTGAAAAATAAACGAAGTATGTCACAAGGTCCTGTAATTCATCACATGCACACAATGAATTTGTAGGAGGACAAGAATGACAGAGCAGGTTGCAGGACCAAAACCAGAACCACCATCTACATAGCATCAAAGCAGTGTAACATCAGACTGTTACGAAGGTGCGCCTGTCCTAACAGGACCCATCACCACCAGATAAAGAAACGGGTCTTAGAATCTTTAAAGAAAACTTTGTTTGACAACATTTCGTCTGGCAAGGAATCGCTTATCAATAGTTGTGATTGTGAAATTTCTATTTCCATTGTTTTGCCTTTATGGTCCCCACTTCTCTATTGTTTATCTGTATGGTCTTTGTCTGGTTCTTTGATTCTTTTGGTCTGTTTTGCAAGATTTAAATCAACTAAGGTGGTGGGGTCTGATTGGGTAAAGAATTGTTTCGTAATGGGCTGTGATTGGTGAAAAATACTGTATGGTATGACTTTTCTTTAAAATGATTGGTTAAGGTAGAGCTAAGCAGGACTCAAGTTTAACTATATAAATCGGGGTCCAAAAGGAAGTTTTTTGGAACCTAACTTCAGGACACAGCCCAAGCTCAGAGCTCTCTCATTGGTAAAAGGCCCCGCAAACCTGCAGAAGAGTACGCCCTGAGCCCTAGGAACTGGGGAAGGGTAGTTGCCTAAATTAAAACAGTTAGGCCTTGAGCCCAAGGAAGGGTAATGATAGGAGCCCTAGAGTGTGCAGGTAACAGGAGGGTAGCTAATGTGATGCCAATTTTTTAAAAAGGCTCCAGAGGCGATCCTGGCAATTACACACTGGTAAGCCTAATTTCAGTGCCAGGCAAACTGGTTGAACAGTAAAGAACAGAATTTTCAGACACTACGATGAACACAATGTGTGGCAGAAGAGTCAACACAGCCTTTGTAAAGAGAATTCACGCCTCACCAATTTTCTAGAGTTCTTTGAGAGGGTCAACAAACATGTGGACAAGGGGGATCCAGTGGATCCAGTGTACTTGGACTTTCAGAAAGCTTTTGACAGGGTCCCTCACCAAACGCTCTTAAGCAAACTAAAAAGTCATGGGATAAGAGGGAAGGTCCTCTCATGGCTCAGTAACTGGTTAAAAGACAAGAAATGAAGGGTACAAATAAACAGTCAGTTTTCACAGTGAAGAGAGGTAATTAGCAGAGTCCCCCAAGGATCTGTAGTGGGCCAGTGCTGTCCAACATATTCATAAATGGTTTGGAAAAAAGGATAAACAGTGAGGTGGCTAAGATTGCAGATGATACAAAACTTCTCAAGATAGTTAAGTCCAAAGCAGTATGTGAAGAGTTACAAAAGGATCTCACAACACTGGGTGACTGGGCAACAAAATGGCAGATTAAATTCAATGTTAATAAATGCAAAGTAATGCACATTGGAAAACATAATCTGACCCAACTACACATACAAAATGATGGGATCTAAATTAGCTGTTACCCCTCAAGAAAGATCTGGGAGTCATCGTGGTTAGTTCTCTGAACACATCTGCTCAATGTGCAGCAGCAGTCAAAAAAGCAAACAGACGGTTAGGAACCATTAGGAAAGGGATAGAAAATAAGACAGAAAATATCATAATGCCTCTATATAAATCCATGGTACGTCCACATCTTGAATACTGAGTGCAGATCTGGTCACCCCATCTCAAACAAGGTATTGGAATTGGAAAAAGTACAGGGAAGGGCAACAAAAATTATTAGGGGTATGGAACAACTTCCCTATGAGAAGAGATTTAAAAAACAGACGGTTCAGCTTAGAAAAGAGATGGTTAAAGGGGCATATGATAGAGGTCTATAAAGTCATGACTGGTGTGGAGAAAGTGAATAAGGAAGTGCTGTTTACCCCTTCACATAACACAAGAATTAGGTCACCCGATCAAATAGCCAGCAGGTTTAAAACAAACACAAGGGAGAACTTCCTCACACAACGCACGCTCAACCTGTAGAACTTGTTTCCAGGGGATGTTGTGAAGGCCAAAAGTATAACTGGGTTAAAAAATAATTAGATAAGTTGATGAAGGATAGGTCCATCAATGGCTGTTAGCCAAGATGGTCAGGGACACAACGTCATGCTCTGGGTGTCCCTAAACCTCCAACTGTTAGATGCTGGGACTGGACGACAGGGGATAGAGCACTAAAACTGCCCCGTTTTGTTCACTTCCTCCGAAGCATCTGGCAGTGGCCACTCTCAGAAGACAGGATACCAGGCTAGATGTATCCAGCATGGCTATTCTTATGCACCGACAAAGGCTACTTACAAAGTTAAGACAGATGTACAAAAAGATGGAATTATAGGAGCTCAGGAAGGTTTGACTGGATTTCCAGCTCTGTCTACTGTCATTTCTCAGTCATTTAAATCTATTGCTCACCCATTCTAAGATCTGCAGGGATCTCTCGCTCCTCCGAGTCCTGCTGAGCCTTGATACATAGCTCCTCCTCCTGTTTAATCCAGGATGAAATCTCATGTGTAGGAACCGGAGAGTCTGTTCAGGGGAAAGAAGGAAATAGCAAAGGGTTTGAAAAGCAAAGCATTCTGTGGATGTTGGGAAAACACAATCTCTACCCAAAACCATTTCTTTCCTGAATAAATGTAAACAAGGTAATAATGAGGATTCAGAGAAAACTGACAGAGGATCAGTGGGCAGAAAGTCAGAAAGGGGAGTTGTTAGATTTAGAACCTATTGGGGTGGGTGGAGAAATCTGGGGTCAGAATTGTCTTGAGGATAAGGAACCCTAGGATATGAGAAATCCAAAGAGCCTGCCAGGCTCTTGGAGTATTAACCATGTCCTTACCCATGCTGGGCTCCATGGGGATTTCTGTCTCCTCCGGCCCATCCTCAACACATGGCTCCTCTCCTCGTTCAAGCCGGGACAGGATGCTGGGTTTGGAAATCGCAGAGTCTGTTCATAGAGAAGAAGAATAGGGCTCTTTGGTCTTTAATGACAAAACTTGATGTGATTTTAAACCCCCTTTTGTCACTGAAGGGGCCTGCTCCTATGAACCAAGTTGCAAAAGTGTTAATGAAGAGCATGAAGAAAATGGAGATCGCTGGTGACAGGTAAGCTGGACTCCCAGCAGTAGATTTAGGGCTCATCAGATGGAGAGGAACACAACGCATTGTGCGCCGTGCATAAAGATCTTGAGGCAGATCCTCACCTGGTGTAAACAGTCACATTCATTTCAATGGACAGTTTACACCAGTGAGGCTCTGACCCTTGATCAATAACTCTGAGCTAGAGCCAACCCAGCCCTTGCCACATCACAAAGCTTGTAATAAACAAGTGAGAACTGATCCTTACCCAGGGAGATCAGAGTCTCAAAGTTCCCCTTCATCACGTTCTCGCAAAGCTCCTTCTGCCATTTGGCTGCACTCTCCCATCCCTGCTCAGAGAAATACACAGACGCATCAAACGACACTGGGACTGAAATCACAAGGGCTGCATGCTTTCCCCTTTGGGATACTACACGGATAAAATTAGCAGTGTCGACGGAGTTGGCACTGCTTGGGTGTGTTGAGAGCCGTGTTGGATACATACCCTAAGGTTCTGGTGTGGTTTTACTCATCTAAACCATGCCTCACTGCTATTTATACCCAAGCTAGTGCGGCGTGCAGTGTATGAACTCTGCACACCGCCATGAGGTGTGTGCAGTGTAGACACATCCTAGATGTCCACAAAGAAGCAATCAAGTAGTTTCAGTTAGTTCCCTTGTTGGCGGATACACCTAAACAGGCCAAAATTCAAATGTGCACGGAGGCAGAACTCTCTTCAGCCATAGAGGTTAAAGGCCAATGTCTCTGCTGGTGGAATTCCACTGATTTTAATATAGCTACATCAGCAGAGAGTTTGGTCCTAAAATAACATTGAGAGAACATGAGAAAAGACAACGCAGACGGGAGAAAACCTCACCCGCCGGAGGTCAGCGCTGTGAATGAAATGTAGCTACATAGGGACCCCTCCTACCTCATGTCTTGGAAGATGATCCAACAACCCAGTAATTTGAATGAGAAGAGGCAGGAGATGATGTCAGAGTCTTTTTGAGAGTTACATCAATGCTGACTGGGGGAATGGAACCAGAATTAAAGGGACAGGCAATATTCTCCGCCCCAAGATTTTATTCCTGGTACAAAAGTATCTATCAATGAGATCCAAATCAGCAGTGCCTTAAAGAACCTACCAGTCACAAGACACAAACACCCCTTTGATATCTGACAATCAGCTTTACCTCGGCTCTTCTGCACTGGCTGGGATATCGTTACCTTGGGGACTTCTCCCTTAGTGCCTGAGGGGAGTCTCAGGATCCAGAAGTTTCTGTTCTTCAGCAGGTTCTCCATGTTCTCCAGCCTCCTTTGCAGTAGCCCGTACTCCTGGATCAGAGTTCCCAGTGCAGTCCACTTACTCTCCAGCTGGTTCCCAAAATCCACCATTGTTTTCTCACAGCCGACTAGTTTCTTCTCAGCTGTCCCCATTCTCCCGTCCAGATTCAGCAACTGTGCAGCCTGAGAATCCACCTTCCTCTCTACAGCTTGAACTTCAGCCACCACAGTCAAAGAAATCTCTGCTCTTTGCAGCTGGGTTTCTCTCAGGGAAGTTTCTTCAGGGACAGCAGGTGGCTGCATAGGCATTGGCCACCATGACTCTGCGTCCCATTCTGGAGCCTATTTGAAAGGACGGAAATGGAAAGACATCTAGCAAGGTAAACAATACACGAACTGCCACTCAGCACGGTCTGGGGCTGGATCTTTATTCTAAAAGAGTCTCTCTCCAGATGTATCAAAGTCTGTTGATATTTTCATCATCAGCTGTGTTTTTAAACTGACAATTTAACCTACATCAGCCTGAAATTTGACACACATGAAAACCTGAACTCCGCCTGCAATACAATTTCAAACTGTTCAGATGTTTTCTGAAAAGACCCCAAATTGGTCTCATCAGCAGGTTTACATATTTTTTGACCTTTTTATTGGTCAATAACTTAATTTTACAAAACAGACTTTGTAGATAGTCAATACTCTGCCTGCATTGGGGACTTTTCCCTCTTTCAAAACACTAAAGCTTCTGGTTTGAAAACCACGACTCTTAGCTTTTACTCCGAAGTTTCTGCTTAGAGCATGATAGGAAAACATCTCCAACATGGTCTTCTGCCTGAGTGACCCCTCGGCCCAAAACGGAAGGAGAACAAGGATGGGTTTCTGGTTAAAGCACTGGACAGGCTCTCAGGAGATGTGTGGCCTATTTCCATCTCTGCCACAGTCTCCCTGTGTGAAACTGAACAAGTCACATTCCTCCCTAGATCAGATCTCCACTGTCAAATGGGGGATGAGAAGAGTCCCTTTCACCTGTCCTGATCTCAGTTGGAGACCCTAGCAGAGGTTGTAATGCACATCCTAGTACCATATGAATGAACGGGAGAATTATTTTTTACTATTATTTAACAATCACCTTAAGCTGCCAAAATCAGTATCATTCGACAGCTCAGAGCATCTCCCCTGATTCGAAGGGAGGGAGGCTTAGTATTTCATGGGTGAAATGCATGTTTCTCTACCGTTTTACACCAACATGCGTTGGGCTGGCCCAGGGACCGCAGCACCTGCTCCCCCAATGCGGTTAAGAGTCTGGGCCTAACATTTGGTCCCCTAGGCTAGCAGAGTGTGCTGTGCTGCGGGGAAGAGAGGCCTTCACAACCCTCAAGCAGCCCCTTGGTGCCAGCAGGCATTGCTCTGAAGGGAGAGTCACGCTGACCTGGGACTTGAGAAAGGCGGGTCAATCCGGAAGGATGCTTGGGATGAGGAGGAGAAAGAAAACGACTAGAGAACCCAGCCTCTACAGCCAGAGTCCTTATATGAAACATTTCCTCCCTCCACCACCAGCCATCTTCAGGAACAGAGCTGGAATTTAGATCTCACACTTTCCCAGCGCGAACAGCCAGGATGTTACACACCCAAACTCTCCCCTCACCACAGACCTGGCCAGTTTTAGACCCCTAAAGCCAAAATACTTGGCAAGGTCTAGAAGTTGCGGGACAGAGAACATAGAAGATGGGTCTATTGTCCTTCTTGACCCAGATGGGACAAGTGAGATAAAAGCCAATCTCCGCCCCGGGGGGAGCGCGAAAGGGGTCAGAGACAAGGTAACTTTGGAACCTCCACCCTCCTCTTCCCCACTCGGCTTCTTATTCCTGGCACCAGGGCCGGCCCCGCTCTGCCATCCTGCCCTCCTCGGACTCGAACGCCCGGCGCTGGCTGGGGAAGCTGCAGCGGGCAAAGCAAGCCCCGTGGGGCGTGCACAGAGGGCAGGCGAAGCGGGCCTTGCCCCAGGCCACAGCCTCAGCCCCTCGGATTCCCAGCAGACTTTAGCTGCGGGTCCATAGCAAAGCAGCCAGGGCCCCAGGGGAGCGCGGTGCCAGCGGCCCCAGACACCGGCCGGCTCCGACAGGGGCCGCTGTGGCCTGTCCAGGGGGCGCAGAGACCGCCCCCCAGCCGGCCGGGCAGCCCCCCACCCCGGGGCTCCGGGGCCCAGGCCGGGCGGGGAGAAGCTCCCGGGGCCCGAGGCTCCCCCACCCGCCGGGCCCTTACCTGGGCAGCGGCCCGCTCGGCCATGGCCCCCCCAGGCGGGGCTTCTCCAGCGGGCCCGGCCCGGCCGAGCTCCGCTCCCGCTCCGGGCTGGGCAGAGTCCCGGCCTCGCCTCGCCACGGGCCGGCCCCGCTGCCGGGCGGAGCAGAGCGAGCGCGGCCGGGAGGGAGCCGCGGCCTGGCTGCCGGGAGCGGCGGGGCGGGATTTGAACCCGGGGCCGCCCCGCGGAGCGGGCAGGGAGCAGCGCCCGGCCGGGCTCTCCCCAGGGAACGTGCGTCACCCTCTGGGGCGGGCGATTAACCCAGCCCGGGAGCGCCCCTCCCCCCCGGCCTTCCAGACCCACCGCCAGTTTTGCATCTGCCCAGTTCCACACCCACGAGACCCGCTCCTGGGGGGCCCAGGCCCACCCCGCTCCTGCCTGGGGCCGCCTCTCTAGCGCCAGCCCTTGCCGCTGACCTGCTCCCATGCGGGGTCCCTCCGCCTGCAGGGAACATGGGCCTGGCCTTAGGCTTAGCTGCTGCGGAAATTAAAGGGGGATCTGCACCTCCCCTGCACCAGGCTCCCAGCTGACAGCCCCTCCCCCCCATACTGCCTCCTCTAAGGCATAAAAATAAAACAGCAATTCCCCCCGTCCCTGCAGCATTGCTGTTGGGACCTGCAGAGATTGAAGCCCTGGCTCCAAAATACTCTGGAACTGTTTTGTATAAGTGAAGTGTCACAAGGCCCCTGTGTGGAGATGGGGTGGGAAGGAGGAGCGTTTTTGTGTGAGCGCTTACCCCTGTGCACACCTGTTGCACCACCACACCTCTCCCTACGCCCACCACACCAGCCACAGCCTGTTCGGACTGGCCAGCCCAGCGCAGAGCCAGCTTACAGCCCCTTTCCTCCCATATAACGATGGCCAGCATTTGGGCCTACCTCACTACTGGTTCCATAATTCATTTAGGCTGTATGGTCCAGGAGAAAAAAGCTAGCTGTACTTTGTGAATACATTAATTTTGTCCCTTTAATTTCCCCGGCTGCTCTAATCATCTCTGGCAGCAGCCCCCACTGCCAATGGCAGCGCATGGTTTGCAGGTGAACCTGATGCACAGTTAAAGGACAGAAGGGACTAGCAGATCTAGTCTGACCCTGTATGTTACAGACCACCCGCATACAGGTGAAGAGCACCAATTCCGGTTGATACAGGGCACTGGAAATGTAAAGCACTAAAGGGGTATTATGGCATCACCCTCTGTTATGGAGCTTTCAGACTCTTTTGTAAATGATCTACACGCTCTTTAAAAAGTGTATTTCTGTTCTGAAAAGCAACTCTCAGCTTGGCATTGTAGGGGCTTGTTTACTGTCATTCAATTATTTCTTTGTAGCATGAGCACATTTAATAAGTAACATTTGTTTTTCCCAGCCCTGCAATCTCAGCCTGGGTTCATCTGAATCAGGTTAGGGTCTGTCTTATACATCCCCAAATTAAGCCCTCAACAGCCATGACACCTCCTTGCTTTCAGTGGGTTTACACAGGTGTAACTGCTTAGGATGTAGTGAACAATTCTGTCAACGAGCACATGAAGGAATAGACTCCATCTCATTGGCTCTGCTCTGCAGACTTAAATGGGGTGAGCAGCAGAAAAACTTGTTTTTGTTAATGAAGTCAGGAGCAGATCTGTTGAGTAAGTTGCTATTTTCAATGTCACTTTTCAGGGTAGAATTACACCTTCCACGGTTCTTGCTGAACCAGTTTAACCACACAGCCAGAGAAATGGTACAAGAAGTTCCGCTGAAAAATCATTTCTAATTCCCTTAAAAGGCCTCTTTCCACACTGGCGAGCTAAAGTGCATTTACACTTTTTCAGCTAGAACTAGGTTTCAAACTGTGCCAAAGTGGTTTAAACATTGTTTAAAACTACAGGCCTTATGCAAGGTTGAAACGTTTAGTTGTACGGCAGTAGCACCTAGGAGATGCAGGCATGGAGCAGGACTCCATTGTACTAGATGGGGTACAGACAGAGTCAAAGGAGTCCCTGCCTCAAAGAGCTTCCAATGCAAGTGAGCATGTTTTTTCTCTCCCATTTTGCAGCTTGCCATTTACTGACCCCCTTTGACTAGCTGCAGCGCACACAAGATGGGAAGAAAGGAGAGGTGATGACAAGAAAGTGGCTGCTAGGAAGAGGATTTTAGCTGCAGGAGAGTCCATCCATCTTGGGACAACGCTCATGCTTCAGATGACCTCCTGTGCTACATCAGATTGACAAAACCTCTGCTACAACATGTGAAAACATAGCAGACAGGATAAATCAGGTAGTACCATTTATTGGTCCATAAAAGTTAACACACAAGCTTTCACGCCAAAGATGTTAAAATTATTCAGGTGCTGGCAGTTTATACAAAAGCAGAGACTTTACATAAAAGGTTGTATGGATGTATTCACAGTGATTTAAATTAACACAATGGCATTGACTATATCTCAAAGGATGATTACACCCCAGGCTGCTGAAAGGTATTCTCTGCATCCTCATGTATTTTCTAGAGCAGACTGAGAATAGCAGTAAACAGGAATGGATGTACTGTACTTGATCATGTGAGTTGAGGTTTAGAAAAAGGGGAAAACCTGTTGCCATCGTGCCTACCGGTGGAACATAGCGCCTGTAACTGCAGAGTGAATGGCCAGTTACCCATGAGAAGTTGTTCCTTTTCACTCAAACTACCAGTAATAGGCCAAATGCTGAGAGGACTGGACTCAGAAGCTCTTAAGCCTCAGGTCAATATTCTCCTGCATCCAGCATATACTATAATCTTTACAAAGAGGTTTTTGACCTGAATGCACTGCAGTAGCTTCATGTTAAGTCCACAGGGGCATGCACTTCTCTGATGCAAACACTTATTAGCAGCCAGCTGCAATTAATGTAAATTAAAAAAAAAAAAAGTTTTCAGTGTCTCCCCTCACAAATGTTTGTTCTGATTCAGAGATTGAAGACCTGGCTCATAAGCATGGTGGAAGAGATTTATCTTATTTTTGCAGAGATTTCCCCCCCGGAATTTGGTTCTTTACAGGATAACTAGGAAGCCTAAAAACAGTAACAAAGCAAAAATCAGAACCCCCCCCCCCCCCCAAAAAACAAGCCCCAACTACTATACTAAATGTCGCAATTGCAGGGTCTTTTTGGTCCTTGTGCTGAGTTTTCTATATTTTAGCACACTGGCAGCCTGCCACAAAGCCCACTGAAGCCAATGGAAAAAACTCATTGGCTTCAAGGGAAGCTGGATCAAGGCCTTGGTGCATATACAGTAAAATTTAGGCCCCAATCCTGCAACTTCCTGCATGTGGGCAGTTGTGTCCACACACAGCCTCATTGTCTTCAGCAGGGCTTGATGCAGGTGCAGCAGTCTGTGCAGTCTCAAGAAGTTAAGTGATCAAAGCCTTAATTTGGTGCTAACACTTTGCACATGTGACTAAGCCATGAAATAAAGAGCTATACAGAAGCATACACCCACATTATCCCCTGTCCATCAATGTTTAAACCATGGAGAACAAAGTGCCTCAGACGAATTACATTCCCTACCAGCCAAAGAAAAATGTTCTCCCTGGAATCTGTGTACAAACAGTGCCATTTACAGGCTGTAGGGCCACTAATATTCCTGCATGGAGATGTGTTCATTAATGGAGTGATCACAGTACTACAACATTATTTCAGCGGCATAGCGGGGGGGGGGGGGGGGGGAGGAGGGGGGGAAACTTTAAAACAAGAAGTTCTTTGATAGTTTTTTATGTAGGTTTCCCGTTTCCCATATGTACAGAAATCCCAGTTTTGTTTCCAGTCATTAGACTTTTAAATACTGAGGAACTGCAAAAATCTTGTCTTTTTTGAGAGAAAGAAAACCCCCCACTTAATAAATTCAGGAAGTAATAAATGCTTGGTTTATAAATAGTGGTCTTACACTTAATATCAGCAGTGTTATGCATGCAAACAACACTTGACTATCTTATAAAAACTACATTAACTCTGCTGCATTTTTTTTTAAATCTGTGAATTCTCAGAAGTAACCACTCAAGTTTTCCAAGACATGGTTCATATGGATGAGGCTCTTTTGGAAAGCGTTTAATCTGTAAAACATTGCAGGATCCTAACGGTATTTAAAAACAAGTGGATTATGATTATTATTTTTAAAAAAGTTCTCCCCGGGGTCACGTCTAACCTCTTGTTCCTGTTTTCCCTAAAATAAAGTCCAAGAACTAAAGAAGAGCATTGACTGCTCAAATTAAAGATTCAAGAAATGTTTATACATTTTGTGTGTAGAACAGATTGACATGCACAGCAAGGTAAGCTTTAACCGGGAAGATCTTCAAACAGGAGTTAGACCAACACAAAGGTAAAAATCATCTCAATAATGAGTTTGACAGACACAGAGCCAAGGTTCATGCCTTCCCTTCCCCTTTGTAGAGTTCACATGAGCACACGGAGCATCCTTTCTTCTCAAGGGCTCATGGATTTAGAAGCTCATAAGAGTGCTCCTCTAAGAGAGGGAAGTTTGAACGTCTGCTTTTACTTACCTTTATAATGCGATAACATCCTCTTCCAATTTGCTGGAGCTGATGTACTTTTATTAGGCAACTGACTATTTACAATCATGCTACCATGTATTTTCTATTTTAACATCAAGGAGCCCAGTTTCTATTTCCTGCAAAAGGCCCTGGGAAATTTCTGGCGGCCCCTGCTCTGCACTATGAATTCTCAGGTGATCTTTGAGCGACTGTTTATACCTAAAGCTCTTGCCACACTCAGCGCACTGGTAGGGCCGCTCCCCGGTGTGGATCCGCTGATGTTTCAGAAGATGATGCTTCCGAATGAAGCTTTTCCCGCACACCGTACATTGGTAGGGTCTCTCTCCCGTGTGCAGTCGCTGGTGGTTCAGAAGATGCTCCTTCCGCATGAAGCCTTTCCCACAGTCTGTGCATTTATAGGGTCGCTCCCCCGTGTGAATCATCTGGTGCCTGATGAGTCCTGAGTGACAATTGAAGTTTAAGCCGCATTCAGTGCATTCATAAGGCCTTTCCTTGGCGTGGTTTCTCTGGTGAATTATAAGGCTTATCTTCAGACTGAAGCTCTTCCCGCACTCGGCACAAGTGTGCGGCCTCTCACCTGTATGGATTCGATAATGGTTTGTTAATTTGGATTGCTCGGTGAAGCCCTTCCCGCACTCTGTGCACATGTAGGGCCGCTCTCCCGTGTGGATTCTGTAGTGGTAGGTGAGCCTGGACTGGTGGATGAAGCTCTTCCCGCACTGTGAACACACATAAAGCCTCTCACCTGTGTGGAGCCGGAAGTGGTTGTTCAGGTTGGATTGCTGGGCAAACTTTTTCCCGCACTCGGAGCAGGAATAGGGTTTCTCGGCTGTGTGGGTTCTCTGATGTGATATGAAGATGTCTTTCCGGCTGAAGCACCTCCCACACTCACTGCACAAATATGGTCTCTCTCCCAGTTGGCTTCCCTGTTGGGCGGTGACGTTTGGAAACTGACCAAACTCTGTTTCACCTTGAGTGGATTCCCCCAGATTGTTTGCTGTAGGGGTTGTGTTTGAGATGAGCTGCATGTCTGAGTTGGGCTGATTTTCGCAGCTGGCTACCTGGAAAACGCATGCTTCTGATCTTCCTGATAAGGTCACAGGCAGTTCCTGGTTCACAGGACCTCTCTCCTCAGGACGCTCCTCATGTTTGACCAAGATCCTATCATCTGCTAGAAAGGGGGGGGGGGGGAGAGGGGAGAGATAATCCTTACATTACTTATGCATCGATTTGGAATAAAGAAACCCCTCAAGATTTGGAGGTTTCTAATTCATAATGGAATCCCATGAAGTCAGATTTCTCTTCTGCACATGCTACAAAAATGCTAGGAATGGTCTGTTGAGACAGTGCCAGGTAAGAAAGACTTTACTCTCAGTCTGTAGGTACTAGGGGAAGGGAGGGCAAACTACGGCCTGTCGGGGCTTTCAACCCGGCCTGTGGGATTGCCAGCCCCGTGGTGCAGCAGGGCTAAGGCAGGCTCCCTGCCTGCCCTGGCCCCGCGCCGCTCCTGGAAGCGGCCGGCACCATTTCCCTGTGGGGTAGGTGTTAGAGGGGTCCATGCATTGTCCTTGCCTGCAGGCACCGCCCCCCCACAACCCCCATTGGCCTGGAATGGGGAACTGCAGCCAATGGGAGCTTCAGGGAAGGTACTCACAGACAGGGCAGTGTGCGGCAGAGCCACTGACCCCCACCCCCAGGAACCACTACCGGACATGCTGGCCACTTCTGGGAGCAGCGTGGGGCCAAGGCAGGCAGGGAGCCTGCCTTAGCCCCACTGCACGCCGCTGCCACCCCACAGTCACTCGAGGTAAGCGGCACCCCGCCGGAGCCTGCACCCCAACCCCCTGCCCTGAACCCCCTAACCTCGTCTTGAGCCCCCTGCCACACTCCAACCCACTGCCCTGATCCCCACACCTCCTCCTACACCCCTGAACCCCCTCCCACACTCCACACCCCCTGCTGCACCCAACCCCTTACCCTGAGACCCCTCCTGCACCCCAACCCCTTGCCCTGAGTCCCTTCCTGCACCCCCTCCTGCACCACAACCCCCCTAACCTCCTGCACCCCAGCCCCCTGCCCTGAGCCCTCACCCCCTGCCCTGAGCCTTCTCCCACTCTGTACCCCCTCCCGCACACCGCATCCCCTCCCACACCCCAGCCCCCTGCCCCAGCCCTACATTCATGGCCCTGCATACAATTTCCCCACCCAGATGTAGCCCTCGGGCCAAAAAGTTTGCCCACCCCTATACTAGGAAGTGACCCATATCCAGCTATTTATAGAGAGTTCTCCATTGGGCTAGCTCCTCACCCCAAACTGGCCTCTAGACTGACTAGTCAAAAATGGAGCTCTAAGAATCATTCTTGCCACGTCCCATCATTTTTCACCAAAATTACAACACAGCTGGCTGTAAACCTTATCTATTGCATGATCATACAGCAGGTGTGGGACAGAAGCTGAGTGAAAATCTTCTACTTTTTCCCTAGTGCATTACACCAAGAAGAAATTTTGAGCTGAGTTCTTTTGTGATGAGTTTCACTTCTAAGAAAAGTCTAAATCCAAAGCTTTGGAACTAAGGAGCTACAATACATGCATCGAGATCTGCGTTCAGTCACACCAAGATAAAAGGGGACTCTCGCTCGGATTTCCTAGTGCTTTTCACAATACAAGATCATTCCCTATGATGTTTCCAAAGGGAAATTGTGGACTTCTACCCAGAAATCAGAGTCACAGAAGAGCCTTGTGCTGTATGGAACCAGCCTTCTACGTACACATGATTAGAGTTTTAAGCCCCAATCTTGCAAGATGTTCTGCACAGATGGAGAACTGCGCAGAGCTCAGGGCAGGATCAGGCTTATCTGTTTACAGAAAGTTTTATATATAGGAATAAAAACCTGTTATGGAGCGGAGTGAAGCTTTCACTGTTATGGAGAGAGGAAAAAACAACATTCCCAACTGTATAAGAATTAATAGGCTTACAAGGGATTTACAAGTGCTGTCAAAAAATCGTTTAAGTCTTAATATTCATTTTATCTGGCCAAGTGGTATAAGGTGGTATTTACTGTGTGGAGCATGGATGAACACTGAATGAGCAACTACTGGTTCTTTTATCAATAAAACACCTTTAAAATTTAAAAAAAAAAACCTGAATGTTACAGGTCCCTCAAGCCCAACACTGGAGGAAATCAGTCTTATTGCAGTCTGCCTCCTTCTGGTTCTCTACACCATACTCTGCCTTTTGGGCCATTCTTGCTAACAAAGAAACTGAAGACCAAGACCAGTTCTGTGGAGATCAGTCACTAGAGATGGGCCCTCTTTCCAGGAGGAGAGGAAAAATGATTCATATCCCCACTCTCTCTACGCTTGGGCAACTAGGGTTCCTAGCCCACACAGCTGCTGAAAACTTTCCCCTCAAGTGGATTCTCCATCTGCACCTCACAGGAAGTCTAACAGCTGCCCCTTCACCTCTGACTCATTAGCAAAGCCCTGCCTCTGTCTTTCCATTGGAGCTGCATCCATGGTGAATGTCCTCCCTCCAGGCTGGCACTCTAAACCCAAAATGTACAGAGAGATGGCTCTGCCTGGGCCTCCCAACAAATCCCGAGGACTAGCCACCTCAGGAAAGTAACTTTCAGGCAATTTACTCACTGTTCCTCAGTTATTTCACTCCTGTACTCACTGGTGCAGGTACTTCTATGCGTTTCTCGTTCCTTAGCATTCGCTTGAGCCCGTATGCTCTGCTCCTCTTCTTGTTTAATCCATGACATAATGTCCGTGGTAGAAATGGGAGATTCTGTTCAGAGGAAAGAGGGTGACATCACAGCTTATCTATAATCCACTGAACATGTTATTCAGTATTTGAGAGCTGATCTGAAACCAACACAATGGACCAAGTATCCGGTTGGAGCAAATTGGCATGACTCCACTGACTTCAATGGAGAGTTGCATTAGCATATACCACTGGTGAATTTGACTATTTCTTTGCTGGAAGAGATGCACATTCTGATGGGGTGCACAGGTTAAAATGGAAATTAAAAAATATGGGGTGAATAGGTCAGATGATCCAAATTCTCTGAAGAGCCAGAACAAGGAGAGACTGGTGCAAGACCAGGATAATCAGAACCTGCGCACAGAAATGTAAGCTGTGACTACATGAGCAGGATTCGCAACATTAACTGCAATCAGTGTTTCAAGGAGATTTTTTGTATTACCTGTGCTGGGACCGGCAGAGACCGAAGTACCTGGGGCAGGTGGAAAGTCATGAATGACATCTGCAAAGGAGATAAGAAAACTGTCAATTAAAACGTATCAAGCTCATGTGGTTTTTCCTCATATATTTCTATTCTTGGGTGGAATTCCCTGCTTTTAACGGCACTCACTTTTCCATTTCAGTCTATTACTCACCTGTGGCAGACTCTGTAGGGATCTCTCTCACTTCCAAGTCCTGCGGCTCCCCAGCACACAGCTCTTCCCCTTGTTCAATCCGCGATAAAATATCAGGCTTGGAAATGGCATGATCTGTTCAGGGGAAAGAGGTATTGAGGCTATAGTAAGTACTGATTTTAGTTTTAAAGGGGTTCTCCTGGTTTTAAGCCAACCTCCTTGCCTCTCTGGAAGAGACAGGTAATCTGCCCAGATGTAAGAAATGGTGAACGAAGATCATGCAGAAGAGCAAATGTCTGCTGGAAAATGGGAGCTCCTTGCAGGGTGAGGGGGGTTCCCTCAGACAACCGCAAAATGCAGACTGCCTGGCTTTCCTGTGCTGCTGGAGAATCAAGGCAACCTCTAGGCTATCAAGGAAGCGGTAGGTCTCTAAATGTGTTGGGCACTTCTCCAAAGCTCATCATCGTATCCTGAGAGAAAAAGCTGCCGCCATTCATGAGCAGCTGTCAGTCGGCACAGCAAGCTATGCAGACATGTCAAGGATACCGTGAGGCTGGCAGGATCAAAGGTATCGGACAGATCTAAAAGAATCAGTCTAGACACGTGGATCTTCATTCCTTGCCAGGAAGAGATCACTGACTAAAGAGCCAGTCTAAAACAAAGTTGTGTGTTTCTAGTATAACATGGGCAGAAGCCTTGAGACAGCCATTAATGGAGAAGATCTTGCAACACCTTCACACAACAAATAGGTCAGGTTTCTGGACATGGCCTGAGCTTACACAAACACAATTAACTCAGTACCAGAAAACTCAGAAGGTGGAGGGATCAGGAACCCTGTTTGCATTTTGAAATCTCTCTAAATTGGGAAGATTTGTGGAGCTGGTCTATTACACGGGGTCTGAGAGAGGTGCTTATCCACCAGAAATCAGAGGAAGTTGAGAACAGCCATGAGATAGAAGAAATTAATCAAGTCAGATTGCAAAGCCTCCAATAAGTGTAAACTGCTCTTTACCTAGTGAGATCAAAGAGTCATAGTTGCCCTTCATCACATTCTTGTAAAGCTCTTTCTGCCACTCTTCCAAATTCTCCCACTTCTCCCGGGGAATTTGGATTGAGACATCATCAAACGCCATTGGGACCTGAAATCACAAGTGTCACACACTCAGCACCTTCTGCTGCTATCGCCTCCTGACACCACCTATCCTTTCACCTTGTATAACAGAAAAATGGGTCGGAAATTGCAGAAATTTAGCTTTGGGATGACTGCCCATTGGTCAGTATATAAGCAGGTGGGTCTCCATCCCATGTCCAGTCAACAGGTGTCCACACCAGAATAACCACCATGAAAACTGGCACCAAATGATGGCTTTGCTAGAAGTATCTGTGTTGAGACTGGAATGGGCTTGGAGAGTGAACTATTGCTCACCCTCAGAGGTGGTCTCTCCAGATCAGATGCAGCATGAGCGACAATGGCACTGTGAGTTGGGAGGCAGAGGGAGTAGATTAGTGACGTTTATAGAGAAAACATTTTCCATAGTATTCCCACAGAAACTTTAAAGTTGATTTGCCATATTTAAAAAGTTAGACAAAGCATTTTAGAAGTCAGCAGCGTGTAGTTATAGCCTTTGATTTCAAGAGGATTTGTATAGATTAAGTGACTGTTTAAGGCAGAGGTGGGCAAACTACAGCCCGCGGGCCACATCTGGCCCACGGGATCGTCCTGCCCAGCCCCTGAGCTCCCGGCCGGGCCGCGCGGCAGGCTCCGGCATGGTAAGGAGGCGGAGGGTCCCGGGGGGCAGACAGGGGACAGTTGGATAGGGTGCAAGTTGGGGGGGGGCACGGTCAGGGGACGGGGAACAGGGGAGGTTAGATAGGCCTAGGAGTCCCAGGGGACCTGTCAGGGGGCAGGGGTGTGGATAGGGGTCAGGGCAATCAGGGAGCGGGGGGGTTGGATAGGGGGTGCGGTCCGGGGGTGCGGTTAGGGGCGGGGGGTGGTGGTGGTCAGGGGACAAGGAGCAGGGGGGTTGGATGGGTCAGGAGTTCTGAGGGGGGCAGTCAGGGGGCGGGAAGTGGGAGGGGTCAAATAGGGGGTGGGGGCCAGGCTGTTTGGGGAGGCACAGCCTTCCCTACTCGGCCCTCCATACAGTTTTGAAACCCCAATGTGGCCCTCGGGCCAAAAAGTTTGCCCACCCCTGGTTTAAGGTATTATTTAAAAATGCTTTTCACTTCTGCTTGCTAACCAGCTCCCTAGTGCCGACATCGCTGCACGTCAAAAATCTACTTTGCTTTCTCCAGTACTGAAGAACACTGCATGCACTATACCAGTGGTTCTCAAACTTTTGTACTGGTGACCCCTTTCACATAGCAAGCAAATGCGACCCCCCCAATACATTAAAACACTTTTTTTATATATTTAACAACATTATAAATGCTGGATGAAAAACAGGGTTTGTGGTGGAGGCTGACAGCTCGCCACCCCCCATGTAATAACCTCGCGACCCCCTGAGGGGTCCTGACCCCCAGTTTGAGAACCCCTGCACTATACAAACATTTGTCTTTTGAGTATTTATACCACACATCACCCTGGAATCCAAGCCCCTCTCAGTAAGATTACTTCACTATGCATCTATTCTGATCGCCCGGAAACCCTGTACAGAACACATTACTCGTAACTAGGCTATTTAACATGGATCACTCAGGTTCTGACGTGCTGGAGAGGCTATGGACCAAGAGGTGACTAACTGCACATGGTAATTTTTCCCTATTTTTAATAATATGTTCTAGAATCCAGTATTATTCCACTGTTCGCAGATACTGTACTGGAACAAGGTACAGCTCAAACACCATGCTTATTAGGAGTTTGTGGAAAGACAACTGGTAAAAGCTGTAGACTGGAAGCAATCCCAAACGTAGTATGGGACTTTGGGCCAGATCCTGCTTTTACTTGCAGCAGAATCTGAAGTAGTCAGTGAAGTCAATACAAACTGGCCCTGTAGAAAGTGACATGCCTCTAAAGAAAGCAACATGAACATTACCTTTTATAAACAATATAGAAACTATTTATAATAAAAGTAAAATAAGAACATAAGAATGGCCCTAGTGGGTCAGACCAAAGGTCCATCTAGCCCAGTATCCTGTCTTCCGACAGTGGCCAATCCCAGGTGCCCCAGAGGGAATGAACAGAACAGGTAACCATCAAGTGATCCATATACAAACAGATTGAATAGATTTCCTCCCCACTGAAATATTTATTTTAAAACAAATGAATGGCCGTGGATCATTATGACTAATAGCACATTGTATTCATTGTCATCCATCCTTTGCTTGGTTAATATACCTATTTCAGCAAAAAAAAATTTTTTTTAAGCTTAATAGAAATTGTTTAGATGGCCCCGACCCAGAAAGTCAGATCTATAGCTTGCATTTCTTAAAGTTTGGGAGCCTTCCAGTAGGAGATTCTGGTTTAGTTCTCTCTTTTTAAAAATAAGTAAATAAAATTAAATAAAAAACCTTATAGTTTTAAGCCATGCACTTATCCTGGAAAGCAGCATTACTCAGCTGGTTGAAGGTACTTTGAAAAAGGCATCTAAAATTTGCAAGCATCCAATTTCCCACCCAAAAAGCTTTGTTAAAAGAAGGTTAAGTTTGCAAGTGTAGCCTATGAAATGAAAGAGAGCTTTGAAGCAAACAGCTCTCTGGGCAGCTAGGCAGCACCATCTGCTACCAGAGCAATAGAATGCTCTGGTAGCAGTAGGGGCAACATGCCTTTACTGGCCAGTGGGTGGTCACAAGCCTCACATGAGGACACACAGGAGCAACTGGTGAGATAAGGAAGGCAGAGGGGGCAGAGCCCTTCCCTTTCTGCACACAGGGTGGTAGGCCAAATCAAATGGTCCGGCAGGCTTCATGTGCCCCCGGCCCGGGCTGCCAGTTGCCCATCCCTTATTATGGTCCAGTGGTCAAGGCCCCCCAAAACAGAGGCCCTGTGTGAGTATGCATTGGTTAATCTGAGCCTGGCTACCCACCAGTAGTTTTCAAATAGGCTGTTAAAATGGAGTTTTTGTTTGTGCAAATCCATCCCGAATGCTAATTATTGGGGGCGGGGGCATGTCGCATTAACAGAGATGAACCCACAGGGGGTCACGGCATGATAAAGTCTGGGATTAACACCGCACTAGATAGTGCCCAACTTTTATTGTGTCGGGCAGGGGTCCAGGGTCCCATGGAAAAAAATAAATGTAATCATGCATACCTAGGGACATTATTGTAATGCATATGGACCAAGAAACAGAGTTAAGTTTAGGGGAGCAACGGATTTTGGCATTTCCAGACTTAAGTGTTTCACTTTGGAAACATAATATTATTTTAACAGAGGGATTTTTATATGAAATGTCTTGGTGGTTGTTTTTTTAAATGAGATTTCTTCCTTTTATTGCTATTGAATGGTTTCCTGGACTGCAGCAGAATGCTCATTCTGCAGGATACGCTGGAGTAGGGCAGTGCAAAATGGGTATACACTGCATAATTGTTTTCACACATCTTGTGGATCAAGTACTTGCTTAATAAACAATACAGCTAGCAGCCAGTCACACCGCTCCCTCCAGCCAAGGCATTTTACAATGGTGATTTATAGGGATATAAAAACTTTGCCGATACAGTATACATTAGTTTTACACTAAAGTACTAGATGGGTTACTGTTACCTTTGGGTCTTCTCCTTTACTAGCAGGGGGAATTCTTAGGATCCAGAAGTTCCTATTCTTCAGCAGGTTCTCCATGTTCTCCAGCCTCCTCTGCAGCAGTCCATACTCCTGGATCAGAGTTCCCAGCACAGCCCACTTACTTTCCAATTGGTTACCAAACTCTACCACTGTTTTCTCGCAGTCCACAAATTTCTTCTCAGCTGCCCCTGATCTCCGCTCCAAATTCAGCAATCGCATAGCATGAGACTCCACTTTCCTCTCCACAGCTTGAACAGCAGCTACCACAGTCCACAAGGAAATAGCTGCAGTCTGCAGCTGGGTTTCTTTCACAAAACTTACATCTGGGATAAGGGGAGCTTGTACCTCTGTGTCCCATTCCGATGCCTGTTTGCAAGGACAAAAATTAAAGAGAGCTGGGTTCATGTTCCCATCTAGCAAAGAGAAACAAACATAAAAGTAGATCATGTGCTACAGGCTGCTCAAACCTTCTTGCGATTAGATCTTTGTTTTTAATAGGGTCAAATTTAGAGTTGTGCAAAACAGTCCCAACAAAACCAATATGTGATCTAGGGGACTGGTAGTCAGGAGACCTGGGTTCTATTCCCACCTCTGCCACTGATCTGCGTTGTAATACGTAACGTGTAATTTCACCTCTCTGTGCCTGCTTCTTGTCTACATGGTAAGCTCTTTGGAGCAATGACTGTCTTTTACTATGGGTTTGTATAGGCTGAGCACATTGAAGCTCTGATCTTGGTTGGGGCCTTTGGGCATTATTGTAATAAAAACAAACACCACCACACCAACCCACTTGTGCTGGGATTATTACAAAGTGAAAACTCAGATGATGTGCACCACTAAGGTTCATAAGCCTTGCTAACACACCGGGAACAGTTTGCAACCGAGCCAAGCAAAACTCTGGTTGCTACGGAGATTTGATTTGAGGCTTTGGGTTTGTTTGAACCTCAAAACAAGATTTGGGATGGGAACTTCATATGGGGTAATGTGAAAGAAAATCTTCACACAAACCCTATTAAGGCAAACTTGTGAGCACTCAGCAATTCTAGTCTGGATAGAATAGTTAAAAGGTCTGTTAACATTTTCACTAGAAGTAACGTTTAGAGGTTTAAAATACATTGGTCTGGGACTTGACCCCTAGGTTACATCAACAGAGCTGCTGCTGATTTTCTAAATCCATTACAGCAATCCTGCTATTTTCTTTCTTTAGAATATTCTGGCCTGACCAATGCT